ACATAGTCTGCTGCCTGGAAAACTTCACCTTAAAGGAGGATATTTACGCACAGCTCGCTGCCGCATAGGCACAATCCGACTAGAAGGCCAGGCAATCACAATCTACCAGGACCTCTCCCCCTATACCCTACAGGATAAAAACCCATGCTCCCACCTGCACAAGTGCCCGACTGGCTGGTGAGCCGATTCATCCACCAAGCCAACACCCCGCAACCACCACCAGACCGAGGCAATAGCCGCAGAGTTTCCCAGCAGCAGCGAGCCCGGGTCCTAGTGGCCCGGAGGAGTAACGACTCCCCAACGCTGATATCCACAGCAACAGGTCCAGGGGACGGGAGAATTACCTCATGATCCACAGCTAACCGTGAGTAAGGTACATTGGGGACACTGGCTATATTCCACATTTCCACGATCAGGGTAGGGGCGGGGGTCCATGGGACCTGGAGGGAGACCTCGGACCCCGGGACTCTGTCATTCCCACAGATAATACCAGGGCAACCTGCAACACCCGGCACTCGTTAAAGGGGTCCAAGACAATCACACTGGAACAACCCAGCTGACCTCAGCAACCTGGATATTATAGCAGAGTTTGATATCAAAGCCCACACAGAGGCAGGGATTTCTATATTGGGGGGTGCGGGGTCCGGAGAGGGTCCTCTGTCTCAAGGACTCTGATGCCCACATGAAAGCCACCCGGGAAGAGGCAGCACACGACTGCACCAACTTGAGACTAAGAGACACGTGATACCTGGCCTGCCTGAATGGTGACAGGCACAATGCCTAACCCATGACACTAACACATTAGGGACATGCAGGGGGGCCCCAATGGTGGGAGGGAGTTAACACCAGGGAACACACGCATGCTCAGAAGCCACGCAAGGGGGGGAGGGGAGAGGCACAGCCACTACGACCAGCGGTATGTGAACACACAGGAGGACTCAAGAGAGGTGAGGGAGGACTGGAAGGAAGGGCTAAAGAGGAGACCGAAACCAAAACATGGTGAACTAATGTGATTCAACATATGTTTAAGTAGGCATGACAAAAGGGGGGAATCAAGGAGGGACACATGAATAGAGGGTAACACAAGGGGCCAGCTACAACCGAGGACCCTACCAATCAGGGGAGACAACGTAGGGGAGGCAGGGAGCCCACAAACCGCTCCCTCCCCCACACTCCCTGCAAAGGGGTGGGGGGGAGGAGTACAGGGGGAGTAATGGGGGGGAAGGGGAGAGAAAACACAAACCAACAAATAAACGCACAAATTTAGGCACATGGAACCCCCTGACACCTCTACCCCTTACTGCGACAACCAATGACGGCTCGGTCCCACAAGCACTACCCGACCCCGAGGCTGCAGACCGGTACCTAGAAGAGGGGAGGGAGGAGAGATGGAGAGAAATTACGGGACATACCAACGAGGCAGCGGAACACCGCAAGGACGCATACTAGGACCCGTCAATGGAGACCCCTGACGCTCTAGGCATAACAGACAGTGGCAGCAGTTGATGTCTACACACCAGACACAGGGAGACACCTAGAAAGCACAGCAGAGGCAGGCCAGTCCAAGGCAACACATACACCTCTACAAGCCAACCCCCATCTAGTGATGTAGCCACACACACGGAATGCACCCACCGATTATGGGGACAGATTCCTCGACCACAGAACACACAACACACGGGAAGTAGATAGAGACTGGCTTCGCCGACAGCACAAGCCCCAAACAGACCACCACAAAGGGAGATGTATCCAGAACACACAAGCCAGAACAAGGCGAAACCACACCACACTTACCCACAACAGAGAGTGCTCCCCTAAGGGACCACACCACCCTACCAAACAATCGAGACACCGGTACAGATCGGATAGACGATCCATACTCTTGGTATTGATTTCAGAAATCTCACGCCCCCGGAACAGAGGCAGCATTTCCCTCCAAGGGTACACCCAGGGCCCACGGGAACAGTGGTGACCTACTACCTGGCACTTTGTCCATTTACCTGCAACTATCGCCTAACTTGAACGTCACAGACCAACCAAACACTGATCACCCCTTCCCCTCCTCCCCCGCTTATTTTCTCCCCTCTCCCTGATGGCCACCCCGGTAAGGCTGCCCCCGGGTGGACCTGGACGTCATTACGTACAACGTCCATGGCCTCAATGTCCACAAGAAGCGCTCCCGCCTCCGCGACCTAAAAAGGTATAGGGCCTCCGTAGAGTTTCTCCAGGAAACCCACTTTTAAGAAAGCAGGGCACCCTCCTTGAGAGACTGCAACTACCCGCTTGGATTCTTTAGCAATAATCCCTTACGCCGCAACATTGGAGAGGGAATACTGTTCTCCAGGCACGTTCCCTACGTAGAATTGGACACCATTCAATGCAAACACGGCAGATATATCGTCACGAAGGGCACCCTCCACGGTCAGAAATACACATTCGCAAATGTCGACGCCCCGAATTCTAAACAATACCAATTCTTCCGCACCACATTTAATAGCCTGATGAGATTTGCCGAGGGCATTTTCATAATAGGCGGCGACCTTAACGTGACACTCCATCAGCAAGACAACCGACATGCTAAAACACTCTGCCTCCTCCTCCACCACCAACTCACGGACTGCTGGAGGGTGCTGAATCCGATGGACCGCGACTACACCTTTTACTCGCAAACACATGCCTCATACTCGAGACTCTACTACTTCTTGGTCCCACACAACTATGTCACTCTACTAGTTGAGTCCAACATCTTGCCCATGACCTGGTCGGACAATAACTCCGTCCGTCTGCGACTCAAGTCACACTTGTTCTGACCCCGCCAGACATCATGACGCTAGAATGAATCTATCCTTTCAGACACTGAGGTAACCGAGAAAACTAGACAGGCCATACACGACTACTTCACCAACGAAACGGGAGACACTATGCCCCTGACCTGCTGGGAGGCCCACAAGACAGTGCTCCGTGGACACTTCTTCATGATCTGCTCCGCCCGCAAGAAAGAAACGGCTCAGGCCATCACAGACCTAAGCAACGACACTATAGAGCCAACATAAGAGAACTCAGGACGCCGCCACATTCCGGAACCACCTCCTTAAACGAACCGAACTTACCACACTACTCAACCGAGCGATCCAACGCTCCTTCCAACATTTCCGACACCTGATTCACGAACCAGGAAACAAATGCAGCAGGCTCCTTGCCAACCTCCTGAAACAACGGAGAACTCAATTGTATATATCTAAAATTAAGAACACGGCCCAACAAGTTCAACACCTCCCAGAACAAATCCCACGCTACGCCTGATCAATCCTGCAAAAAACAACCCTACTTAAGGAACGGACAGAATTCAAAACACTCTGCATGCAGGATTCTGTACCTCCAAAAGCCATCTCACTGATCTATTCCACACTGGTGACGAGCAGATACTTACTGGCACCGCCGTGCATCCGACAATGGGAAGAACTAGATATGATATTCACAGAGGCAGAATGAGACAAAATTATCGCCCATGTCCAAAAGACCCCGAGCTCGGCACGATTACAAGAAAATGCCTACAAGGTCTTCACGAGATGATACATCACCCCCACCACCCTACATGCCCAAGACCGCTCGAAATCAAACACCTGCTGGTATTGCGGTGAGGAGCAAGGAACGTTCACCCATATATGGTGGGACTGCACCTTAATTAGACCACTGTGGGAGACAATCAAATAGGTGATACAGGAGGTGACAGACGAAACTATTCCCCAGTCACCAGTCTCATTCCTCCTCCACCACACCACAATGTCGACAACTACATACAACAGATCAGTGATCCTGCGACGACAATGCGGCAAACGCTATTGTGCCCCTGTATTGGAGACTATCATGTACCCCCTTCCTCCGCAGATGGGTGGAGGAGGTGGAAGATATCAGGAAGTTTGAAGATCTGAAAGCGACCTCGGCGAAAGCAAGGGATAGATACACAACGATGGTTCTACTGGATACGCCATATCGGCTCAGATGAGTTTGCACGCCAAATGGCCGATAACTGAGCATCTAAGACGCAACCGCGGACACCCGACAGTCGGGGGCGGTGACCAAGGGCACACCACTCCCCCCCCACTTTTTTTTCTCCTCCTTCCCTGCTTTTTCTCTTCCCCTCCCTCTCTCTGACACCATACTACGAGGTGGACACCCACCCAAACCGCCAATTGGCCCAAACACAGCGACCACGACAAACACATGGTTTATACCCCGCAACATCCTCTCACCAAGGGGGACCGTTAACCCAGCTAACTAGGTCATTAAATAGAGGAAACAAGAGGACAGGCAACACAAACATGCCTCGTCATTTTCCCTGCTTCTCCCCCGCAGGCCAGAAATTTTCACTAAGCACTACGCAACACACGCCTGACACTGACCCAATGTACTCCCAACTCACTGATGACTGAAATTACAAAGTCAGATTGTATTTAGCCTCTACACAGGCCCAAGCACAATTACCGCTATTAGACATACTAAGCCTCAACGCAGGCAATAATGTACCAAACTCTCAAACCCGAGCTCTGTCAGCTACTATATTATAAGACGCAAACATAGGGAATGAACCCTGCTTTCTCTACAACGCACCCTCATCAGGGGGATATGCTCAACTGGCCAACAACGTGGCTAAACATGGGAAACGGGAAGGAAGGCAACCCAAACATGCTACGCCATTTACCCTGCTCACCTCCCACGTGCTAGACAATTCTCACTACATGTCGCGCACCGCACATAGCCGACTCTATCCTCATGTACACACTATGCACCGAAGCATGCTACTAAACTGTCATGCCATTCTTAGCCTCTGCGCAGGCTCATATAATGATTACCGTTATTAGACATACTAAGCCTCTGCATAGGCGATGATGTACCGAACTCTCAACCTTGATCTATGTCGGCTGTTATACTGTAAACGTAATACAAACCCACTTAACAAAAGTTATAACTGAAACAAAAAACGTTTTTTCCATACTGCCTGCACTGTTTAGGCTTCAACCCCTGCGTGGGAAGAACTGTTTATTGTGATTACCGTAATAAAAACGGTAATAACACAAATGCGTTGCAGGAGCATGATCACCTTTTGTTTAGTGGAGCATGTGGCTACATTGTTTGAAAGAGCAGAATCAGCTTGACCGTTGTGCAATGACCATCCTGGATTAAAATTATAATCTGCTCATTGAATGACAATTTTTATTATTGCTGCTTGCCAAATATTAGGATATGTACATACATACATAATCATATTCCAACATAAACCCATCCAGCAAAATCGCCGTGATCTTTTGCCTTGTATCTTCTATGGTTACTGGGTTACTATTCTCTGGGTTTAAAAGCTCTAACATATATATTTTTTTTATTCTTGCCCGTTTGTTGCATGGTGCCGTCTAATAATGGTGATTGTCATTTTTCTTGAGATTGCTCATTATCAAAACAGTCCTAAATAACCATTGGTAAAAAAAAAAAAAAAGATGTTTTGTATGTAAAACAACCTTGTCAGTGAAAAATGGTCAATTCAAGATTAAAGTGCTTGTATTTCTCAAATTCACAAATTCCATAATCCCCAAGTATCATCCTTGCAGCAGTCAAGCAGTCAATCTGAAAACTGTTGACGTCTCTATTGCCAGGTCCTTGTTTTTCAGGAGAGCTTCTGAAGGTAGAAGTTCCCAATGCATCAGCGACATCTGTTCCATTTATGATAACCAGCTCCTCTTCGGCTAGTATGGAATAATCGCCAGAACTCTTGCGCTGTCTGACCTGATTTTTTGTATATTCCGAAGAACAAAAGCCACTGGTGGGAAAACAGAAGCCATATTAAATTTCCAAGGTATTGACCATGCAAGTAGTGTGGATAATTTTGTCATAAAAGGGAAGCAAATACTATAACTTTCCTGTTCTTTCTTGTGGCCATATCGTTTTATGAAGATTAAAAAAACATGACTTGGTAAAGGGACCATTCTAATTGTGTCCATCAAAGTCTGCTTAAATCATCTGCAATGTGATGTTTTGCGTGCCTCTGATGTGAGTAGCAGTTAGGGATTCCAATACCTCCTGTGCCTATGAGAAGATATGAGAACAGAGCATTTGGAGAGATTCCACTTTTGTCCCTCCTTGTCTGTAGTAATGTTGTCCGACTGTAGTCTTACAGTCTTCATAGCAATCCATGGTTTGAGAGCCAACAGGGTATTTAATACTGCCTTAATTTCTCTGTAGTTTGAAAAAAAATAAAAAATGGGAAGCCTCTTTTTCAGACCAAATTCCTTGATGAAAAGGAGTATCTAGGTGAGCTCCCCATCCGGTCTGTGATAATCGTGAGTAAATGTTTTTTGTTGGAAAGTTACACTCTGTTAAAAATTGTATTGCTTTTCACCATGACAGCTGTCTTACACTGTTCGTAAGGCTGAATTCAGATTCCAGATCTTCTTCCCTTCTTGACTAAGTACCAAAGTTGTCCCATCGAAGGTGTCTTTACTGCTGGGATAGCAGATGTAAAGAGACCCAACACACTCATGGCACATATTATATATATATATATATATACATATATATATACATATATATATATACACACATACATATACATATATATATATATATATACATATATATATATATATATATATATATATATATATATACACACACACACACATTAAAAAAAAACTGCTGTATTCTCACTTTGGCAATTGCTTAAACACCAATGTCTCTAAATGCCTCTAGATGTTAATAAATGTATCAGGTGGCAAGGAACAACGTAACAGCTAGAGTAAAGGGACTTCTACCAATGGAACTGGACACACCAAGTGAGCTGCAATGGTATAGTACCAGACTAAGATGCACACATGCACAATTCAAAGTACTGGTACAAAGATAGTTATGCTTCCCTTTGGATGACGTATCACTATAACAAGTCCTTAAATATCCAGGTATTCCCAATAGAAATTACAGCAGAGTCATAGTGCCCTCCTTTACACTTTATTAAATAGTTAAAAGTGGGTATAAACCCACTCACAAGTTTACCAAGATAGTCAGGGTCATCAATTGACTTCAAACTCCCATCAGCGCTGGTCACCCCTCACCTCCTTCCTTGTAACTGACTTGGAGAGAGATCGGGGGACTATTGCTGTAATCAGCCTCTTGCTGAATTGATGAATGCGTTCCACTGCTGACCATGGTGAATTCCACCATGCTTCCTTTCCAGATTCTTGCGTCTGGATTCAGCCTCACGCATTTTGTGATATCAGAGACCAACTAGAAGTCCTATCAAAACTGCACTATTTTCATATAAAAGAACTGATTCTTTGACCAAACAGAATGCCAAAAGAACTTGATAAATGAAGGACATTATCTGATCTTGCCAAAATGCTCAGGAAATGGCAAACATTCTGAGAAATAACAGAGGGACTTCAAAATTGGCAGACACCCTACTGGTGGTGCTTCCCAGCTAAGCTTTTAATATCCAAGGATGGCAAACTGGCCTGTTACATTTACTGCTCCATCACTGGGGCTATCAGCCAGAGTCCCTAGAGCAGAATTCATGGAGAAATCCTATGTG